GTATATTTTGATCAATGATTTGAAAATAAATTCCCAAAATTTTTATTCTTTTTCATTCTATTTTGGCAACGTTTTCAAAATATATCCAAAACATTTTATATTTTTAATGTGACCGAAATAATAATTCAAAATTAAATTTTAATCCTCGTTCTCAATGGGCTGATGTTGCATATCAAGCGGGAACAAGCTAGACCAATTACTCGGAAATATGCAAAAGTGTGGTAATAACAGGTTCGACCCTCGCTAGTTGTTAGTGTCTCTCGAATTTAACTGATACTTATGATTTGTAAATAATTTCCGATATCGAGAATTTACTCTCGAAGTGATAGATTCAATGTGAATATGTGATCCTGCTTTAAAGAGATTTCTCGTTAACAAAAGAAATATTTTGGTTATAACTAGACCAATGTCTATTGGCTTGGCACATAAAGCAGGCTCTAATTTGAATAAAGAAGTCCAAGACCAGCATAGAGAAAGGCAGAATTGTTCTTCTTGTTCTTGTACATGACACCGGGAGAGAGAATGCTTANGGCACATAAAGCAGGCTCTAATTTGAATAAAGAAGTCCAAGACCAGCATAGAGAAAGGCAGAATTGTTCTTCTTGTTCTTGTACATGACACCGGGAGAGAGAATGCTTACATAAAACAAAGGAGTTTCGTAATAATATTGTATTGCATTAGAGAGAGAGAGAGAAAATTGGTATCGCAAATGGAATAANTCGTTAACAAAAGAAATATTTTGGTTATAACTAGACCAATGTCTATTGGCTTGGCACATAAATCAGGCTCTAATTTGAATAAAGAAGTCCAAGACCAGCATAGAGAAAGGCAGAATTGTTCTTCTTGTTCTTGTACATGACACCGGGAGAGAGAATGCTTACATAAAACAAAGGAGTTTCGTAATAATATTGTATTGCATTAGAGAGAGAGAGAGAGAGAAAATTGGTGTCGCAAATGGAATACAAGCTTTCTTTTGAAAAATACTCCTGGCAATTTTTACCAAAATAATAAAAAACTTTGCTCAACTAAAGAAATTTGAGATTTGATTGCCCGTCACTCACCCACTAAGGAGGAGATTGGGAGAGTCCAAGCCTCAAAAAACGTATATGTAGGGAGAAGAACTAATTTTAATTATATTTAAGTCTTAAACTCAAATTTTAAGCCGACTTTTTTTTTAAAAATAAANGGGGGGGGTTTCCAAGTCTCAAAAAACGTATACGTAGAGAAAAGAATTAATTCTAGTTATATTTAAATATTAAAAATCTAGTTTTTTATTTTTTTGATAAAACATAATTTGAGTAAATCTACGATGATGGATTTTTTATCAAAAAAAAAAAAAAAACTTTACTCAACTAAAGAAATTTAAGACTTGATCCCCCGTCACTCACCTACCNTTTTGAAAAATACTCCTGGCAATTTTTACCAAAATAATAAAAAACTTTGCTCAACTAAAGAAATTTGAGATTTGATTGCCCGTCACTCACCCACTAAGGAGGAGATTGGGAGAGTCCAAGCCTCAAAAAACGTATATGTAGGGAGAAGAACTAATTTTAATTATATTTAAGTCTTAAACTCAAATTTTAAGCCGACTTTTTTTTTAAAAATAAACTACAAGATTTACCCAAATCATTTGGCTTGGCTCATATAGTACGACTTTCTTGGATAATATTGTGAATGAAAAAGACTTAAAAAAACTAGTGTTCATTTACAATTTTTTTTGGACTTAAATGAATGGTACTGCACATGGGTCAATTAATAGGTAAAAGGGACACAGAGATCATAAAGCAGTTGCAGGTTTAAATGCCGTGGGAGGTATTGTTGTACTGCACCTGCCACTCATTTCTCCACAAATGGCATGATTGGCATGAAAATAGAAAAAAAATCTAGACGGAACATACTAGGCTTTCTTCCCCTGCCATTATTATTGCCTTTTTTATTAGTTGAAAGATTAGAGTTTTTNGCATGAAAATAGAAAAAAAATCTAGACGGAACATACTAGGCTTTCTTCCCCTGCCATTATTATTGCCTTTTTTATTAGTTGAAAGATTAGAGTTTTTCGATCAATTTATATATATTTAAATAATTTTTTTTTTCAACCTGATCAAAAATAGATCATTCACACCAAAATTAGAGTATTTACGATGAATAAATCCCTCATGACTTAACCCAAAAAATTATCTCTGTTACCATTTGAAATATCTCTTGTATTTGCTATTATTATTGCCATAACTTATATATGTGATCTCTCACCATTCATGTTATAATACTTCACCAGGAGAAATATGAATTCCAAATTTGAATTATTTGTCAAATACGAACCCGCAACGAGAAAGTTGTTCCACATAACTTAAACGCCAGTGTTTTAAATCGCAAAAATAGTCTTTTTCGAATGTTCACATCTATTGCTCCCCAACTCACATTGCAGGAGGCACTGAACCAGCGTTATATATCAGAATTCTCAGTTGTATTTTGAAGGAATATTGAAGTTACGACACGTGTGAGGATCATTTAATATGCTTACACGAGGATGGTGTAATAAATCATGTGAGGAAGCACAAGTTATGAACTCTCACGTCACGAAGAAGGATCGAACCATCTAAGAGTAAGGAGAGTAAGAGCTCGGTTTTAACCAAGCCAAACTCCACATGTGAGCAACACTGAACTAAGGAGATGCATGTAATTTAAGCATTTTGGTATAACAAATGAGCGTAATCAACGGCTCAGGGAGAGCCAGTCAACTGGGAGAAGCGTCTAGAGAGATTTCAACAAATCTCTAACAAATATCTCATATTGATAAGAGGTGTGTCAGCTTACATCATCAATCAGAGAATCCCTAACAAAGGAAAACATTATAAAAGGAGTCAAGTGCACGCAACAAAATGTACGCTCAATTCTCCTTGCAAACATACTCTCTACATTCGAATACTGATTTAAGTATCAAAGTGTTTTCGATCGAAGCACTTCAGTCCTTGACAGTTTATTCGTTTTGCAGGAAAAAGAAGACATAGTATAAAACCCGAACTTAACAATCTTTGTGGGAGGTAAATTCATTATTTGCCCCCTACATATTTCATTCACAAAAGATATAAAACTTATCCAACAAATAATATAAGTTTTGGGTAACAAGGAATATATTATTGCATCATGTCCTGTACAAAATTTATCTATCATACCATCCCTAATCATGTAGCTAGGAACCTTGTCAGCTTAGGCCTTCTATTATCCAAATCTACTGCTAGAATTGTTAGTAGCCCTTCTCCTTGACACCCACTTACAAGAAAAAAGAAAAAAAAATCTATTCTCTCTCTCCTTTCTCTCCAGGGGAGAAAAAGAAAAAGCCCTATTGCTATCACCTTTCCATCTTTCCCTTATCTTTTCTACAGGAGCAAATCAAACCGTTTGATTCGGGACTGGCTTCTGTGTACTGAAACATTTGCAGTTTGCCCGATTTTTGCTAAGAGTCTGCAAGGGACATAAACATGTTAAGTAGAATTGTTAGGATGTATATTTGGTTTTTCTAAACTTGGTTCAAGCTTAGCACCTGATACTGTTTTTGAAGTTCTTTAATATAATCGACAGCCAAATCTAACATGTCTGCAGTGTTCGTTTGCTGCCAAGAAGAAATAGGATTAACTTTGAGTATTATCCACAAATAACAGACACAAATACGCGTGGAAAAACTACTACCTTGTCCATGTTTGGAACAAGCTCTTGTAGTTTCCTCATTCTTTCACTGATCCGCGTTCTTCTTACCTGAAATTATAGCATTACATCAGTGAAATCATATAGTAATTTAACAGCATCTGTTCCACCAATGGGTCTTTGGTCCAATGGTACTACTTACCTTGTGAGCTGTTCCACCAACTAAAAATGCAAATATCATGTGATAAGAGTATAGCGTTTTGACCATGAATCAAACCACCAACATCAGAATCAATCAACTTACTGTGATGATCATAGAAATGATGCAGATAGTCTAAGTAACAGGTCATAATGTAAAGAAGATCAATACGACAGTTCAAGATATAGACAAAGTTACCCTCTCTGCAATGCTTCGGGGATGAGTAGCACAACCTCGCTTTGCTCGGATTTTACAGGGAACAGAATCTGGGGAGTGCAGTAACTTCTCCATGGCAGCAATTTCGGCTGAAGTCTTTGGTAAACTTAAGTGGTGTGACAAAATAGTCATGCGCTTTCCTAGCTCCCCGTTCTGATGAAAAACCAACAACTCTAATCAAATCAAATCAACAATTTAACATGGACACAGAATACATTTGATGCCCAAAAATGATACCTGAGCCCCAGCAAATAGTTTCTCATCATTATCTAGGTCCCTCTTTGGGCTGGTGAAATTCTCTGCGAAATGTGCAGAATCATTCCAAGAACCAAACGGGTATCCAAAGCCGGAAAATTGAGTGTCTCCATTGCCATTTCCAAGCCTTCCATCATCAGGACAACTCACCCCAATGTTTTGACTCTCGTTTTCAGATATCCGAGTCAACATTCCCAACGAAGAAGGTACCCCAAATGAGAAATTCATCTGACCTTTCAATCCGCTTGATGATGGACTTAAATCACAATTAGCACCATTCCCCACTCTGTAATCTCCAACCCCTCTTATTGTGGCATAGCCTGCAAATTGCTGAGAAACTTTCAGTAACACATTCTAGTGACTGATCATAAAATAAATAAAAATGAAAAACAACTCCTTGCTACTAATCATAAAAGCTGTATTCGATATGTGATTGTGTTTGCACGGTTCCATTGCTAACACTCCAAAGGAGGCTCATAAAGTGGGAAAATAGAATATAACAACATTAATTGTTGAGTCTTATATTGCTCGAAAAAGCCCCCAAATTAGGTTATAAGGTCATCTAAGCAGAGTTGAGAAACGTTATAAAACAAAGTAGAATTCGAAAGGCTACGAAACAACGTAGAATTTGAAAGCTTATTACCTTTATTTTCCAACATTTGCACAGCACTCAATTATCAAAAAAAAATCCACCAGATGATATAAATATCATAGACTCATACTCTAGCATCTACATCACTTAGCAATGTGAAATTCTCAGGCTGAACTCAATCATGCTTCTACACTAATACCTAAGCAATAGAAAATTCATCTATCAAATATCATAGAAATCAAAACCATACCTAAAGCTAGAAAAATTATGACAAAAAACAATCACAAAATTAATAAATCTAGTTGTTAGGCCCAAAAGGATTGGCAAAATAAAAAGTCTCTTCATAACATGAACTTCTTATGTCAATCCTCTAGCCGAAAAATCTACACACTGGATAAAAGTTAACTTCATATAGCAAATATATCTCTTTTGCTATGCATAGTTTCCTCAGACATTAGTTGCAATATCCTATCAACTTTCCAGATGGCATCAATTTAATCAAGCAGTCCAAAAGAACTGAATCAAAGCAGTTCCACAAAGATAAAAGGGGTGAACTGATCAATGTGCCAAAACAATACCATTTTGAGCAGTGAGCTGAGAGAAGAACCCAGCTGGAGAACTATTTTTCCTCACAAGATTGGAACCCATTTTCCCTTGCCCCTGATTATCCATACCCATAGAACTCACAACCCTATAAGCACCCTCCATACCATTCACTTGGGTTGATGTAACTTGTCTTGGACACTGAGGTGGCAATTGTGAACTCAAGGAATACCCATTAACCAAAGACTTATCATCTTCGAAATCCTGAAAACTCTGTGAACCCAAATTGCCATTTCCAGTAGAGGAACTAAATCTTGAAGTCAACCCCTGAGCTTCTTGACTGGATTTACCGCTCTTAACAATCCCATCTGTGAAACTTTCAAGCAAAGAGCTCGGAGCTGAGCGAAACCTCAACAACCCAGAATTGCTCTGGTTGTTCTGGTATTGTCTGTAGTCATTAAAGCTCATATTCTCAGAGTCCATCAATGGTTCTTTTCTCTCACCACTTAATTCTCTCTTAGCTTAGAAAGTTGCAGAAAATATAGCACTTGAATCGGTGAATAATTCTCGGGTAGCACAATAAATTCCTTGACTTTATCCCAGAAAATTCAACGATCTTTTTTATGAGGAACTGCGTGTTATTTAAGCAGTTGGAAATGAAATCTTCAACCACAAGCAACCAAATGATTTTCCCCAACTCCTTGTATAACAGAACCTTAGATCTGAGCTTATTTTGGGTCTGTTTCCCATGAAAGAAAGATTAGAAAGAGAGAATGGGGACAGAGAGTGGCCTATTCTGTAATTCACTGGAATTTTGAGGACCTTGATGGGCAGAGAGAGAGAGAGAGAAGGGTTGGGGAACAGTGTGACCTCAGGTTTCGAAGATAAAGAGAAAATGATATATACCGGTAAACCTTTGGCCTTACCCTTCAGAGCACCGAAAGGTTAAAATGGAATAGATTGAGATTTAGAGAGCGAAAGGAAAGAAAGAACGTGAGAGATGGTGGTGATTGCTAAAGGTGTACATGGCAGTGAGAGACAGAGAGAGAAGAAGGAAGCAAATATTTTATCTTTTATGTATTTTATTTTTACAAAATTGTTTAATTGACGGGAAGGAGTTGGGTCAACGTTAAAGTCCTAACGGAAGTGTATGAGTAAATTACAGCAATACTAATTATCTCGTTCACATATCAAATTAATGGTAGCTCTTCTTTGTGCAAAATCGCCTCTTCACAAGAACAGTATTATCCCATTCACGTATTAGACTAATCTTAAATATTCTTCGTACCTCTCCACCCAATTCTACTCACCTATAACTTTTATTGTGTAAAGTCGCCTCTCTGCACCAGCATTACAGGGTTGGCCTAATCATTAGGCCAATCAACCTCAGACTTTAGGCCTCATAAATTTTATGTGTAATAATAGCTCAAAAAAAAATTAAATTTATAAGAAACAGGTCCCATAAAAAACTTTGATTTAATTCCAAATAAAATATTTTAACGTAAATAAATTGGACTTATTAATTCAACCCGTGAAATTAAAAAACTCTAAAATTTAATTTTTTAAAAACAAAAAAATAAATTAATAGTAAAACTAAAGCTACTAAAAATCAATTATTAACTCCTCATAAAATGTCAAATTCAACCTTACCATCATAAGTTTTCAATTAATTTTGCTCCTCTATCTCTCTCTTTCCATCAAGTTTAACTATGGTTACAAAACCTTGAATATAATAAATTTAATTAATTTTTTTTATTTTTAAAAATAAAAAATAAATTTTAAATAAATTAATTATTAATATTAAAAAAAACCTCATTATTGTTTCTGCTTTAGGCCTCAAAATATCTAGGGCCGCCCTGGTGCAGTACTATCTTACTCACATATCAAACTAATGTCAGACTATTTTTTATGTAAATGTGTCTTTTCACACAAAAAGATAAAATGTATGGTCTGTGGCTCCAAAAAACTTCGCTTAGTACGATATTCAAATTTTTGACCTATTTTTAACAAGAGGTTTATCTGGTGGTAGAGTTATTATAATTAGACTACAGGTAAATCCCTTCATGGAGAATATTAAAGAACACATGATTTATCATAAATATCAAAAGTGAAAGCAAGGGTAGGAGCAAGAGAGAGATTGGAAGCACATAAATTGAAAAAATTTACAAAAAATCTTAGAATATGAGTGCATTGAAAGCGTCATATTAGATGCATAAAAACACATAATTTATTCATATAAATTAATGAAAATTAAACATAAAAACTCAAATTTCATGCTCAATAAAAAATAAGTTATTTATTTTAAAATGTGTTGATTATAAGGTCACAAATATGATAATTATATATTATAAATATCAAATTAGTTTAATACATATCTTTGAGTATAGATCTACACTTGCTAAATAAAATTTTCAACAACAATAGGTAAGCACTTATCAAGTAAAATTGCGCACGAGTGAATTCACAAAATTGAGAAAATGAGAGCAAAAATCATGATAAAATTGTCCTCAAAGTTTGAATTTGCACAAAAAGTACTCGAGCGTTGAGAGTTTAAGATGAATTATGTGATTTAAAATTTAGTTGGTCGATTCCGAATAATTATAATAAAAAATTTTATTAAGTTGAGTTAAGATTATAAATGACAATAAATATGACAAGAGTACTAAACATGATGAATTATTATCAAGACAATTGATACAATATATTAAAGAAATTGAAGTAAAATCAATCAACATTCAATATGAATTGAAAATGATATGATTTGAATGTAATATAATAAGAATTAATATGAAATTAGCGGGTTAGATTTTAATGAGTTCGAGTGAAAAACGAAAGGATCCGTCTAACCCGTACAATAAACAAATTAGATTCAAGTAGAGTATTTTAATCTCGTTTATCAACCGATTATTCATTCAATAAATTGATATAATATGCAATTATCCATTTACGATCACCCATTTATTACCCCCAATTACTCATTTATCACCCTATTATTAGTTTAATAGAGAGTTCAATTTGTTGTAAAATTAAGACTTTTATTAAAAAATTATTTAAAATTAACAAAAACGTAATCTATTTAATAAATAATTTATATTTAATTAATAAATAAATTATATACAAATTAAGTGTATTTTTAATATAAATTCGCTAAAATTCAATGACGCCGGACCGCAGCCAACACAGCTGCGAGTTGTATTACTGAAGAAGTAACTGCCAGTAGTGGATAAGTTCGGAGGGAGCTGTCGGCGAAGGTGATATTGACGTCAACGGTGAAGAATAGGGAAACGGAGCATCAGATTCGGGAAGGATCTAAATATTATCCGGACGCGTGCCGTCAAAAGTAACCGCTCCAGTCACCGCATGTGATCAGACAACAACAGCCGTTTTTTCAACAGTGATGTTCCTATTCTACCACTACATTTCATTAAATTTACATTATTGCCTTTGGATAGAATAAGTAAGCAGAGTGTAAAGTGGTTGGAATGACGATAGAAGAATCGGCAATGCTATGGAAACCAAAATATTTATCAAATCATTTATAATCGTTAGATCAATATATTTAATTATTGATCCAAAGGTTATAGATGATTTGATGTATATTTTGGTGCACACTTTTAGTTGAATTAGTTTTATATTAGAGGAATTATTTATCAATATAATTGTTTTTAAATAAATTTATAAATTTATTTTTTTGAAAATCGAGTAAACAAATTCGCTTTCATGGAGAATTTAATGAAGCCCCTTTGAAAGAGGATTTGTTGACTCCGTTTTCAAAAAATTGTCGTAAATTGATAAATAAATTTAAAACTGCTTAAATTTGTTTAAAAACGGCTATACATTAATAAATAATTCGACGATAGAATCTACATAATTTTCGAAGGAGATAAGCATAAAATCTTGAAGAATTTCCATTAATATTTGGGGAAAGAATAGCTTATTGATTTTTTTTTGTATTATACTGAAAAATATTATTTTTAAAGATTAAGTTATATCTTATAAAAGATAAAATATAATTATTCGTAATCCGATCATAACATTTCAGGATCAATTCCATCATGACTAACCTCAATTAATTATAATTTTACTTTTAAAAAGTATAACTTAACAGTTACAAATTATTTTTTTCATAATTGATCACAACATTTTATAACTTAAATCAAATGTAAAATTACTAATTTTACATTCAAGTTTTAGTTATAAAAAATTCATTAATTAAATTTAAATTTAAAAAACTAAAACATAATTAAATCTTGTTGAAAATATAGAGAAAGACTCCAATAGGCAGAGAAAAATAATCCGACGATGTCATTATATAATGTCTAATGCTTTGTTAGATTTTAGGAATAAGATTCAAATGTTGTCTCTGAGATGGACACCAAACACTGCGAGGGAGGGCACCAAGTGCAAAGGTGGGACCCGATGTTCACTATAATGTCTACTGCACAAAGCTAAAGAAACCAAAAACCAACCCTTTTTTTTTTTTTTTAATTTCAATGCTTAGGAGTGTAATTTGGACTAACTCTATTTAAATTTGAGCAATATTTATGTTACGTTTGATATAATGAAAAAATAAAATGATGAATAATTAGAGCGATAAAAAGTTAGAGGAATAAATAAAATATAATATTTGATAAGGAAGAAAAATAGAAAATATGGAAAAGCAGATGTATTAACTTTCCTTCCACCTCACCAAAATCAATCTCTCCAAAATTGAAAGGTGAAAGGAAAGTTAATTNCAAAGTTTGAATTTGCACAAAAAGTACTCGAGCGTTGAGAGTTTAAGATGAATTATGTGATTTAAAATTTAGTTGGTCGATTCCGAATAATTATAATAAAAAATTTTATTAAGTTGAGTTAAGATTATAAATGACAATAAATATGACAAGAGTACTAAACATGATGAATTATTATCAAGACAATTGATACAATATATTAAAGAAATTGAAGTAAAATCAATCAACATTCAATATGAATTGAAAATGATATGATTTGAATGTAATATAATAAGAATTAATATGAAATTAGCGGGTTAGATTTTAATGAGTTCGAGTGAAAAACGAAAGGATCCGTCTAACCCGTACAATAAACAAATTAGATTCAAGTAGAGTATTTTAATCTCGTTTATCAACCGATTATTCATTCAATAAATTGATATAATATGCAATTATCCATTTACGATCACCCATTTATTACCCCCAATTACTCATTTATCACCCTATTATTAGTTTAATAGAGAGTTCAATTTGTTGTAAAATTAAGACTTTTATTAAAAAATTATTTAAAATTAACAAAAACGTAATCTATTTAATAAATAATTTATATTTAATTAATAAATAAATTATATACAAATTAAGTGTATTTTTAATATAAATTCGCTAAAATTCAATGACGCCGGACCGCAGCCAACACAGCTGCGAGTTGTATTACTGAAGAAGTAACTGCCAGTAGTGGATAAGTTCGGAGGGAGCTGTCGGCGAAGGTGATATTGACGTCAACGGTGAAGAATAGGGAAACGGAGCATCAGATTCGGGAAGGATCTAAATATTATCCGGACGCGTGCCGTCAAAAGTAACCGCTCCAGTCACCGCATGTGATCAGACAACAACAGCCGTTTTTTCAACAGTGATGTTCCTATTCTACCACTACATTTCATTAAATTTACATTATTGCCTTTGGATAGAATAAGTAAGCAGAGTGTAAAGTGGTTGGAATGACGATAGAAGAATCGGCAATGCTATGGAAACCAAAATATTTATCAAATCATTTATAATCGTTAGATCAATATATTTAATTATTGATCCAAAGGTTATAGATGATTTGATGTATATTTTGGTGCACACTTTTAGTTGAATTAGTTTTATATTAGAGGAATTATTTATCAATATAATTGTTTTTAAATAAATTTATAAATTTATTTTTTTGAAAATCGAGTAAACAAATTCGCTTTCATGGAGAATTTAATGAAGCCCCTTTGAAAGAGGATTTGTTGACTCCGTTTTCAAAAAATTGTCGTAAATTGATAAATAAATTTAAAACTGCTTAAATTTGTTTAAAAACGGCTATACATTAATAAATAATTCGACGATAGAATCTACATAATTTTCGAAGGAGATAAGCATAAAATCTTGAAGAATTTCCATTAATATTTGGGGAAAGAATAGCTTATTGATTTTTTTTTGTATTATACTGAAAAATATTATTTTTAAAGATTAAGTTATATCTTATAAAAGATAAAATATAATTATTCGTAATCCGATCATAACATTTCAGGATCAATTCCATCATGACTAACCTCAATTAATTATAATTTTACTTTTAAAAAGTATAACTTAACAGTTACAAATTATTTTTTTCATAATTGATCACAACATTTTATAACTTAAATCAAATGTAAAATTACTAATTTTACATTCAAGTTTTAGTTATAAAAAATTCATTAATTAAATTTAAATTTAAAAAACTAAAATATAATTAAATCTTGTTGAAAATATAGAGAAAGACTCCAATAGGCAGAGAAAAATAATCCGACGATGTCATTATATAATGTCTAATGCTTTGTTAGATTTTAGGAATAAGATTCAAATGTTGTCTCTGAGATGGACACCAAACACTACGAGGGAGGGCACCAAGTGCAAAGGTGGGACCCGATGTTCACTATAATGTCTACTGCACAAAGCTAAAGAAACCAAAAACCAAACCTTTTTTTTTTTTTTTTAATTTCAATGCTTAGGAGTGTAATTTGGACTAACTCTATTTAAATTTGAGCAATATTTATGTTACGTTTGATATAATGAAAAAATAAAATGATGAATAATTAGAGCGATAAAAAGTTAGAGGAATAAATAAAATATAATATTTGATAAGGAAGAAAAATAGAAAATATGGAAAAGCAGATGTATTAACTTTCCTTCCACCTCACCAAAATCAATCTCTCCAAAATTGAAAGGTGAAAGGAAAGTTAATTATTTGTGTTGAGATGTATCTTATTTGTCTATATATATTTTAATATATACATATATTATGTATACATTAGTTTCATATAAAAATACAATGATAAATATGTGTGTGTATATATATATATATATGACACGAACTTAATTATAACTTAATACAAACTTAAAAATGACCTGACATGTGAATAAGAAATATAAAAAACTAATCTTAAGTTCAATCAGTCAAACTCAAAATTGATACCATCAACCCGTTTATTTAAAAATAAATATTTTATCTATTTTCTTGTTTGTATGGTAGCACAAAATTAACNGAATTATTATCAAGACAATTGATACAATATATTAAAGAAATTGAAGTAAAATCAATCAACATTCAATATGAATTGAAAATGATATGATTTGAATGTAATATAATAAGAATTAATATGAAATTAGCGGGTTAGATTTTAATGAGTTCGAGTGAAAAACGAAAGGATCCGTCTAACCCGTACAATAAACAAATTAGATTCAAGTAGAGTATTTTAATCTCGTTTATCAACCGATTATTCATTCAATAAATTGATATAATATGCAATTATCCATTTACGATCACCCATTTATTACCCCCAATTACTCATTTATCACCCTATTATTAGTTTAATAGAGAGTTCAATTTGTTGTAAAATTAAGACTTTTATTAAAAAATTATTTNAAAAAATATTAACATGGATTCAATTAAGTGAAAATAGAATATTAGCGTTAAATTTTTTATTCAAAATTTATTTGTGTCAACACGAATACGAACACGAACACAACATGAAAATAAATAAGTCAACTTGTAACTTGACATGACATAATTAATTAAATGAGTTGAATTAGGTTTGACTAATGTTAGACACAAACTCGTAATGACTCGACACGAATCTAACACGACACAACTCGATTATCACCTTTAATCTTAGCTACCACAACAAAAAAAAAGTTATTTTTATTTTTCATTTATTCAACCAAATATAAAAAAATGAAAGTGTATCATTCTTATTTTTCTTCCTTGAATGACAAAAAATGTATTCTTCTTATTTTTCATTCTTCCTATTAAATAGAGTGTTAGTTGAACTCTCAGGGTTCTCATCACCCAAATCAAATTATTGAATTCAAGACCAAGTTGTACACGACAAGAATCAAATTTTGGGTTCATCACCCAAATCAAATTATTGAATTCAAGACCAAGTTGTACACACGAGAATCAAATTTTGGTTTTAACCCGAGTTAAACTCCAATTCATCCGACAATCTGTAACTCAAAAATCAAATCAGAACTTAGTCTAACCTCAACTGGAATGCCAACACAAAATTTGTAATCCAACTTTACCCCGAGTTCAAAAACATCTACTTAAGTTCAATGGTTTGGATTGAACTCGATTTCTTATTAACCTTTAAATCCAACCAACCAATTAACCTTTAGTTACACTCCTAGCAACACTTACCGAAAGTGTTTCACCCTTAGTACCTCTAAATCTCTTCTATAAGTAATTTTTTTTTTTTATGACGATATGTAAGAGATATAAATAATGAACCGTCTTGCTTAAAATAAAATTAAAAAAAAAACGTTTTCTAAACTCAAATTCTCAAAAAATTTACATTTACCATAACTCAAGCCCGGACAAATTGATCGCTTTTACCACCAAATAAAACCAATAAGAATTGGACATTACAAGTAGGGTGACTCACCTATCGAGATAGGACAATACTGCTACTTTGACCGACTCACCATATACGGATTGCAGTGTATCTATCTATCTGTCCATATCTGGTGGTCCCCATTATAAAAGAAAAAAAGTAAACCCTAACTAATAACGACTTAACTAAACATTTATCATAATTTCCAAAAATTAGTATGTTTATTGTTATTGCGAGTATTTTTATCATTATTATGATAAATATTTTTACTATTTTTTTTTGGTATAAAAAAATTATCATTTTTATGGGTAATTTATCGTTATTATGGGTATTTTTACTACTATTATAAATTACAAAAATGATAAAAAAAAATATATCATCACAATTATAAAAATATTCATAAATATAATACATTTCGAAGTAGTACCATTTTTTATTTTTTCTTTGTAGGTACCATAGATAACTCCAACTAATAATAGTCAATTAATCTTTATGCACAAAAATAAAAGAGAAAGAGACAAGACAATGCATTCACATGCATGCCCAATTAAAGTCTGTGAGGGAAACACGGACACGTGAGCCCACATTTGGGGCTCAATGCTTTGTTCGACCCAATACAACTCATGATAGGGAGAAATAATAGCTAGAGTAATTTTATAGTACTAGAAAAAAATAATGGTTATCATACCAAAAGTTTTTTTTTTCCCCCTCAAGTTACACTTTTTAAATGTGACGGTATAATTATTTGATGTAATTGATGATAAATCATAAAATATTGTGATTGATCATGGATACTCTTAGTAAATTATAACGTTGTCTTTCAAATGTGTAACTTCTCATTTAAAAATTATAACTTTATGTTTAATTAGTAGTCAAGTGCCTTCGGATTGGAGAATCATTTGCCGAGGTTGGGGTTGCTCGCTCGACTACTAAGAGAAGGGAGAGTTAGGATTAGAGTGAGAAGGGAGAGTTAGGATTAGAGTGGAGGAAGAAGGGGGGAGAGGGTGTCAAACGGGATGGGAATATATAGATTATCAACGGAGTTGTTGGAGTATAAGATAAACTTAGTTGTAAATGAGATAAACAAGCAATCAGATGAGAAAAATATATTTGATAACATCGGATATAATAAGGTGGGCAGATTGAGACAAGAACTAGATCGCTGAGTTGTAGAAGGTAGCAACTCATATCTCCTCCGACAATCCCACCATGCACACGAGTGAAAATGCCAAATATTTAAAAAACTAATCGATGTAAAATTAAATTTCCCCCATAAAGTGCTTCTTTTATTAAAATACTCTAATAATAAGCATACGAGCGATATGATCCTCAACAGATACAATGAAAATACATTTCCTTACAAAAGACAGTTCTTTACACCCCTACATCCAAGGAGAGAGAAACAGCTTCAACGATGCGAGCAAAAACAAGAAGCTTTCAAGCAATAACTATTTTTTCTTTTTCCTTCATTGCAGTTTGATGCAATCAAGACTCTCAGAAACTGTTCTCATCCTAGGCCGAAACTCTGGGTCCAGTTCTGTGCAGTTGAGAGCAATATGGAATGCTGCAACAACTTGTTTCTTGGCATGGACCTCATGCAGGAGAGCAGGGTCTATAATCTCTGACAAGGGTCGTTCTTCTCTAAACACCTTCCTCACAAGGCTCTCTAGTCCTTTACCATTGCTATCCGGCCCACCATCAGGTAATCGACCAGTTAAAATCTCCAACAGAACGATTCCAAAAGAATACACGTCGCATTTTTGTGTGAACTTGTTACCTTGCACTCGAGCTTCAGGTGCCACGTACATGATGGATGAAGAAGTTGAATTCTTCGGGCTTACTACAATTTGGTTTGAGGATTGCTTTTTGGAAGCTGAATTAGTGGATTTCGAGGCACCTGACACAAGACGAGTGAGACCGAAACCAGAGATGTAAGGCTGCAAGTCATCGTCAAGAAGGACTTTTGATGATCTTAAGTTCCCATGAACATGTTTACGAGGGCTGCATTCTTGAATGTGTACTAGACCTCTTGCAGTGCCTTGAGCAATCTTCAACCTTGATATCCATGACAATGATGATAAGGAATTGTCAGGCCCTCCTGCAAAAATTTGAACATCAAGAAAATGAAAAGATAGGTTAGTGTGTTGTTCACCGAAAATCAGCGGTTGTAAAGCGTGCCAATGGCCATCATTAGAGTGATTAGCTTCAAAACATAAACATCCAATTTTTGCAAAAATAAACACATTGAATTGCATTGAAACTAAACGTCTGACGACATTTGAAAGCCAACAACCCATTGTTCCCCGAATTAGCTGCATTAGTATATAAGGGTGAGCAATTGCAAAACAATAGGACCACAACATCTTAACACAATCTATGCAGATATGTCCTCAGGCTAGAAGGGGAACAAAACATGAGTAATTTTGTATAATGCACGAGGAGTAAGTTATTATGAAGCCAATAAAAAGATGCTAAACAGGTTGCAGTCAGCTGGCTCACAAACACCAGCACCCAGAAGCCCCAAATATATACTCATACAATAACTTTAAATTATCCTCAGAGCATATTTCCACCAGAAATCTGAAATCCCAATTATCAGGCGATCAAATCAACTAAACCAATTCAGAAGACCACCAAACATGAGCATCAAATCAACCAAACTTCATAGATGCTGTTTAAACACTACATACCAAATCGATGTTTTAGCTTTTACTAGTTGAGCATATATTTTGACTGTTGGATAAGTGCTTTCCACAAAATAGGCAGTTCATGGGTACAAAAATCAGTGGTAATTCTATCATCGGTCATCTTCATGACTGATTGTTTTGAATATCAATCAGGCAAGGGTCCTACCTCACATGATGAATGTCAAAATTGGCCAAATCCAAAACAAACCTGAAGATTGGTTTTTATCCTGAATCGGCTTGAATCTCACCTAAATCGAGACAAGGCGACCTAGGTCCCATCTCAACCTGAATTGCAGCAAATCCTAATTACCCTCGTACCATAGTACTATGACTACCTTTTATTAAGGCACATCCAAATGTGACAGATTTCGAAAGCTCAATAACCTTCATGTTATGTCCAGAGCAAACCAAGATATATTCTACAGGGTGCAGAAAACAGGAGGAAAATGACATAACAGATCAGAACTCACTACACAACAATGAATCAAGAGAAACAAAAACAGGGGACCAGAAACAATAATAATGGGTAAATCCTACAGAAGAAAGTCTCTGAGATATGCAGACAAATAATTTTAATTGCACAAACTTCGTTTGAATTGTGGCCTTAGAAATTTAAAACATAGGTGTTGATTACCATCACCGCAAAAAANGAATCAAGAGAAACAAAAACAGGGGACCAGAAACAATAATAATGGGTAAATCCTACACAAGAAAGTCTCTGAGATATGCAGACAAATAATTTTAATTGCACAAACTTCGTTTGAGTTGTGGCCTTAGAAATTTAAAACATAGGTGTTGATTACCATCACCGCAAAAAGGAAGTTTGAAATGAAGCAATAGACTGCCACGGTTAAATTGAACTGAAATTTAATTTTTGCAGTTCTGGACTAATATATTGCCGAATCTATCAGAATACCCTTCAGTCTTCACCTCAACTATGGCATTAATAAAAATGGTCCATTGGCTTGGATTTGGCATGGAGACTGATTGATCTGCATTTAGGCATTTTAGTGTTTACTCTTCATACTTGTCAAAATAGGAAATTACTGTTATTTCGTGAGTGTTACTCCATCCGTTCCTAAATATCTGTCGTTTAAAATTTTTACACAGAGATTAAGAAAGCTATTAAATAGTTGTAATATGAGTAAAAAATAATTACATAAGACTAAAATACCCTTATTCAATACGTATTGGGAAGGAAAGGAATATGAAAGACACTTAGCCTCCACCTAATCTAATGTATAGAACTGTTAAGGGTAAATTTAAAAGAAAAAATATTAATTATGTTTTAGTTTTATTAAACGACAGATATTATGGAACAAAAAAAAATTGTGTAAAACGACAGATATATAGAAACGGAGGGAGTATATGATAATCTATGCGATAATCAAGGTAAAGTAAACGTATTATGAACACGTATCAATTCAGATGAGTCATCTTATAACAATGTAAACACATATAAGCACATGAAGCTCTGAAATTAGTGAAATACACCCACGATGTCAACTACAAGTTTCAACTTTAGTATCATGCCTCAATTAATTTAGAATGATGTCCTTACTGAAAAAAATGTCCCCAAAAAAAAAAAAATCACTTCAATGAAAAATCATTAGGTGTCCAAATGACTAGATTAATACACAAGATAGCATTTCCTATTGAAGACAGAGATTATTCCATAATTTATGGGATAATCGAGTTTGCTTCATCAAAATAGGATGGTGTTAATATGCATAGCAAAATTATACAAGACACTCGAAAATTAACTAACTTGTTGATAAATAAGCATTGAAAATGACTTCCAAAGTATAGGAATACTGGCACACTGATAATGCCACCACCAAGAGACATTTGACAAACTACTTAATATCGAAGTCTTCGTGTCCTCTCAATTTGGGCCAAAATTCTGACGGTGATGAGGCCAATGTCACCCTCCTCGGACTTTGCACGGAGGATATGACTGAATCCTAGCACAAGATTCTCATAATTTGATAGATTTTGGCCAAAATTATAAATTTTGATCCAAATTTAGATAATCCTAAACGGCATAGCAATTCAAAACAAAGCAATGACCACATAGAATTCAAAAACCAAGTAGCCCAAAAAAAAAAAAATAATCAGCTAAGTATTGTTACCATGTAGCGCAGCGTACAAGGTCCCATTGCTGATGAAATCAGTGATCAGCAACTTCTCATCACTAGCATAGTAGTAAGCTCTCAGCCGCACGATATTCGGGTGGTGGACCCTGCCAATGGCCTCAACCTCGGACTCAAAATCCTTGAAACGCCACCTAGTCTCAGTCTCACTTAGCCGCCTCACCGCAACAGCTGCACCTGCCACACCCGATCCCCTCCCGCCACCCACCACCACCTTATACACTATCCCACCCTTGCTCTTCCCCACCACGTACGCCGATGCCCTCAACAAATCCTCTAACTCCAACCCAAATCCTTCATCCATCACCACAAATTTACCCTTTTGCCCCTCAATACTACTACTACTGCTGCCCACTTCCTTCTCTAACTTTTCCTTTCCCGTTTTGCCCTCGGTAGATCTCCACTTTTTCCGAATCACCCACACCGAAACGAACACAATGCCGATGACCACCGAAACAGAGGAAATCAAAGAAACTGTCACCGACCCATTTCTCACATTTCCTCTCTCTACAAACCCATTTGGCAAACTTGGGTTTTCGGGGTTTGTAAAAATCGACCTAGGGTTTTGAGCTTCTGGTCCTGGACATTGCGTTTGTAATGGAAACCCACAAAGATTAGGATTTCCAGAGAATGCAGTGGGTCCTTGGTTTAGCAGTGAACCCACCAGAGGTATTTTTCCGGTGAGGTTGTTGTGCTGTAGGTCCAAACTCACCATTACTGGGAATCGTCCGTAGGATGCCGGAACTTCGCCGGAGAATATATTGTAGGAGAGATTTAGGGTTCCGACGAGATGGGTCAGATTGCTGAGACTCTCTGGTAATGACCCATTCAGATGGTTGGAGGAGAGGTCAAGGTGAGTAAGGTCTCTGAGGGTGCTGATCTGCTGTGGAATGGGTCCACAGAGAGAGTTGTGAGAGAGGTCAAGATAGAGAAGAGAGGTGGCATTGAAGAGGTGGACAGGGATAGGATTGGAGAAATTGTTTTGGGAGAGGGAAAGAGAGGAGAGAGTAAGAAGAGCACCGAGCTCAGAAGGAATGTAGCCAATGAGGCCTTTGTTGGAGAGAGAAATGGAGGTGACTCGGTGGTGTCGATCACATGAGATTCCAGGCCAGTGACATGGGGTTGAATCTGATTCGGACCAGGTGGCGAGGACTCGAGTTGGATCGGTGGTTATGGCGGCTTTGAGGGCCAGGAGAGAGAGACCATCAGGGTTGAGAGAAAAAGAGAAAGAACTGATGTGTGTCAAGAACCAAACAAACCCAAATGCGATTGAGTTCATGGTACAAAAAGTTCCTTTCTTCCACTGAATTGAGAAAGCAATAATGGGTTGGCTTAGGCTCTGATCATTGTTTCCGCAACGAGGAGTTGCAGGAAGTGAGAGAGAGAGAGAGAAAGAGAGAATTGGGGGGAGGGGGTGTTTGGTGGACTGGTTGAGGAGGATGATGTCCAGAGTTTGAGTTTGAACTGGGGTATGGAATGGTTTTCGAGGTTGTGTGGAGTAACGTGGGTAATAAAGTTTGAATTTTGTCCGACCAATGTAGATTTATAGGTTGTTTAATGTATTGTCATTCTCTTCAAATTGTAATTTTTTGTGCTGGTTTTTTGTATTTTATTGTTTCTTTGAACAATTTTACCAGTAGAGATTACATTGGGACGGGAGAATGACCAATATAAAAAAGTATTATTCAAGTTTTTTTACTGCTAAACATTTTCTTATGAGACGGGAAGATGTCGATATTTAAACTCATAATTTTAAAGTGGATAAGAGTTACTGTTAAATTAACGATTATTTTATTATTATAGTGTTAATTTTTTATTAAATTATTTTTATTTAACATTTTATAGAGAAAAAAATGACGATATTCAAATTTAAAACCTTAAGGTGAGCAGAGTCATGATTGGCTTAAAGGTTAATTTCTTATACGAAATTATTGAATTTTGTTGAAATAAAAGGATATAGAATTACAATACCACATTATAAAATTATTATGAATTATTAAAATAAATTAAGAATTCCTCTCATATTGAACCCATTTAATTCATACCAGAAAAAAAAAAAAAAGAAGCCATTTAATTCAAAAAAATTTAAAATCCCATTGTAGTGGATTTTAATAATTTTTATTTAAAGAAATGCTATTATAATATAACACTTTATTATATATTTACATCTTAAAAGGTTTCACTTTCTTTTGTTGGGAATCAAAATCAACTGACTTTCACAAAAAATAATATTACAATCATATCAAGTGGCTTTTGGAAAATGATATTAAAATCATTTAAGAGAATCTAAAATATATAAGCGTCTCTTTTAATTTGATGAATAATATTGATATTTTATTGCTAATTATCAATTATGGAACATTTCACCAAAAAAAAGTATTCTTTATTCTTTTTTGATTGGTTGATTGAAGTAATTTTGACCATAAAAAAATTATTATTTAGCAAAAACAAACTTCACACATAATTTATTATTTTGTCATTGCTATTAATAAAACTAATAATTAAGTTGAGTTTTGTGATTTTTAGTTAAGTTTACCAAGCTCGTTTTTTTTAAAAATTATTCAAATTGAATTCGTAAGCGAATTAAGTCTAAATTGAACCCAAAATAAGTTAAATTTAATTATAAACGAGTTAATTTTTATGAACTTGTACAATACCTTTTAAAATTTATTAAAATTTAAATAAATTTAAAAAAATTATTTAGTAAATCGAGCCGAAATTAAGTTTAAAACAAATTTAATTCAAATAATTTCCCTCGATTATCGATCCAAAGTTACAAACTATTAGATGGTATCTAACAGAAAAAATAAAAATAAAAATAAAGGTACTAGGGAGGGATTTAATTGGTATTTTGGTGGTGTCTATCTGTGCATTACTGCTTTACATTTAAGTGGTGTCAGAAAATCATTCAACAAGGACACAACATGCTGGTGGATTCTGACTTTTTCAGTTTCGCAGTTTCCACTTAGAAGGGTGTTATTGGTCAATGTATTGGAGTATTACAGATTCAAAATAAATAAAACGGACAACCCCAAGAAGGTTACTTTGCGTATCCATCCGCGCCTCTTTATACTGCTTCCAATACAATAGATTTTGTTTTGTCTTATGAACTGCAAAAGGGTAAAGACGAGGCTTGTTCAAAGCAAAAGCAATACCAAATTCCCAATCTCAAACCCAACACGAATTCAATTTAACATAAAACTAAAAAATGATTAAAAAAAAATAAGTTAGATTAAAGATAAATGCGAATAATACGATTATAGGGTATTGTTGACAAAAAAATAGATATTTAATAGATACTATAAATTAATATTATCTGAACTGGATCGGTCATCAAACTTGCAGAGAGATTGGATCAATAGTTTATTAATTCAACTCTTAGGTTAATTGGTCAAATCGACTATATAATTAAAATATACAAAAAAAATTACAACCATTAGAGAACAAAATATTTTAACTACATATGTCTAAAATTCATATAATTTGCAAGTTAAGCAGACAAAACTAAAAACCCATGTTCCAAATATCATATTCTTATCAAAGATAAAGATTACAGTTCACAAAAGATAGGTACAAACTTTGAAGTTGGATAATCTTTCTTTCTTTTTTTTTTTTTCTGATCAGATCTTTGAACAATCAATTGTATAAATTAACACCACCACCATAACCATAACCATAACCATAACCAAGGAAAATGAAAGAGATTGAGTGAGAAAGATGACTTAAATCGATTGAGTGAAAAAAATTGAGTGGAGAAGGTCCCGATCTAAAAAAAATCAAGATCCAATAGAGGGCTGCATCGCCATGCCTAGAGTTCTTCATCGCCTAGAGGACTGAAGATGATGTTGAAATGGAATTAATTTAGGGCAAAATGGCCCAAAAAGAGGAATTTTTTTTAATATAACGAGTGGAACTCAAATCGTCCAGTTTTAAAAAATTGACCGATTCACGGTTTTGGCTAAAATCCGGCCAATTTAGTGATTTTGAGCCGGTTCTATTCCTTAAGCGATCTAATTAGAGAATCAGACTAATTAAAGTCTCAGGTCACAGTTGAACCGGTCCGGTCCAGTTCTAATAACACTGTTATAAATAGAATATGGTTATTTTATATATATTTTTATTTTTTTAAATAGTATTATATGAATTGTTACAAAATTAAATAATTTTTTGTTGATAAAAACACGATATATATCGAAAATAACATAACACGACATGACAAGATTGAAACCCCCTTATCATTTGGTGTTGTATTGTATCATTTTCATATTATTTTATCTTTAGTCGTGTTATTTTTAAGTTGTATCATTTATGCTTCGTATGATATTCGTGCCAATATTTTTAGTTGTCATTATTAACTCCTCATTCAGTACTTTTGGATATTGTATAAAAAAAATTTTTAAAAATAATAAACTTTACCCCCAAAAAAAACTACTTAAAAAGTGACAACTGAATTCAAGAAGTGAACATATTCTAAAAATTAGTAAACTCCATCCAAAAGATTATATAAATACCCAAAACAGTGTGACACTATCACAAGGAGAAACAAATGCCAATGGAACTGGAGCTGGCTTGAATTTGGGCAATAGCGCAAGAAAAGGAACGACAGACGTTTTGAAAGATGCAAACCATATGTCCCAAACCAGATAGGAAACAAATGCACTTTCAAATAATTGGTGATCAACCCACAAGAGTAGCAGATGATACAAGGATGGACTTGGGAGGAACTATAAACTCAGATATTTTAAGTTCGATTATCGTTGGTGACTCTCAAGTTTAACTTATTCTTGTGGTTTTCGGGTGATTACAGATATCCGAGATTTATTCAACAGAAGTGAGTGTGACTATCAAATACATTCCTCGTTAATCAAAAAAAATTAAAAAATATAATGGTGGTCCATTTAACTAAAGCTATTTTCATCATATGATTAGCCTTATCAAATAAGATATAGAGTGGGTCGAGCATTCGCATTAGTCTGCCACAACCAGAAAAAGAAAAGCCTCTAAGAAATCCTAGCAAGACCACAAAAAACCAAACTTTCAAGGATAGAGAGGGACACTGTCTTGTTATCCCGTTTTCCAAATCCAGCATTTTTGCCCATTTCATTTGATTACCCAACTTGTGTTGTAATATTAATATTGTTTGAAGGTAAAATTACATATGGAAAAGTATGTTAAACACGGAAAAAACCTTCTCCAAGTTATTCAAATCGGGTTAAATGTGCGAATTTTATTTTGCCATTTTGCTCCAAATGGCATATCCAAATTCATACCAACCCAATTTTTCTCCATTACACATCAATAATAAATCACTAACCATCTATTCAATCATAACAAGTCCTACGGGAATTCATACCGGACAATCAAAAAATGAGAGGATGGGGGCCGCGGGGGGGAGTACCAATGTAGTTAAAAATCCCCCTAAATGTCATATCCTCCGTTGAATTACACAATACTTTATAAACTCGTTTGGTTATCATATTAAAAATAGAAGGATTGGATAAAATAATACAGTCTAATATAATACAGATACATAAAAGACAAGACTAAATAAAATATTATAATAATATATAATTTTATCTAGTGTTTGACAATACACAATATAAATAATGGATAATAGTTATTTAACCTAATCGATTGTTTGGTTATGACATTATTTTTATGGTGTTAATGTTGAATTAACAAAAATATCCTTAATCAGTATTTGTAATATTTGTTACATGATGATAATTTAATAGTTTATCAGTCACGGAGTTAGAATAATAAATATGTATAATAATACATTTGAGATAGATTATAATATTACATCTCTTAGTGATATTAAAATATTTTTATAATACAGGTATATAGTACTAAAGATATACGAATTAATATGAAATCAAATTTATCTACCAAATAATGTATAAAGAATAATAGTACAATATAATATTTAACTCACTTATAATACACCTACCAAAGAAGTCCTATCTTGATTACTATTTGAACACAAACTAAAAAGACAGAGGCATAAAAATACATCATTTTATTGGAAAAAAAAACAAAAAGAAAAAAGCCTAATTCCATCAAATAGCAAAAGTCGTGAACCAAAAAACACTGTAAATACAGAAAAAGTTAAACCTTTTCGTTAAAAGGGGCATCGTAACAATGAAAAAATACAATGACGGAGAAGTTATAAATTGTTTTATTCCCTAAGAACTCGTTTGATTACCATATTAGAAATAGATGGATTAAATAAAGTAATTCAATCTAATATAATACGGAAGAACAAAAGACAAGATTAAATAATATATAAAAATAATACGTAATTTTATCTAGTGTTTAACAATATACAACATAAACATTGGATAGTAGTTATTTAATCTAATTAGTTGTTTGATTTGAAAATTATTTCATCGTATTAATGTTAAACTAATAAAAATACCCTCAATCGGTGTTTGTTACATTGATGACAACTTGATTTTATCAGTTAGGGGGTTATAATAGTAAATGTATAAAATAATACGTTTAAGTTGTATTGTAATACCACCTCTTTTGGTGATATTAAAATACCTCTATAATACAGGTCTATTGTATAAAAAATATACGATTAGTATTGTTTTTGAAATTAATGCGGTATCAAAGTTGTTTACCAAACAAAGTATTAGGCCCGATTAAATAAAAAATAGTATAATTCAATATTAATCACCTCGTAATACGTCGACAAACAAGTCCTAATAGTATTGACATAATCATTCACAATTAGTAACGTCAAATATGAACTCTAGAGTCTTGATCTTGCACCCTTGTTACCAGGAATCTGCAATGCATCATAATGACCAAAACCATGATACAAGACTTCGATAGGACTATCCTTGCCATATTCCTGCCCATACTCTGCAATGGATATCAGACCACCAGAATCCTTATCGTTCATGTAGACTGTGATTGGCATCCTGCAATCATGAGAATTAATGAAGTCTTGCCACTCTAATGTCTTCAATGTTCAAATTTTTTAAACTCCAAAGGCATATACCAANAAAAAAAGGCAATCTAGCCATCCTTAGTAAAGAGAGTTCAGTGATGACATTGCCTTGCTAGCAAACTATGCTGCATAATCCATTCAACATAAAGGAACATAAATCACGAATTCATGATGTCTATATTGAAGGGACACTACATACTCTAGCTCGTAATTTGTCTGCTAGTTCCCTTTGAAGGGTCTCATTTGGAGCAGGCTTTCCAGATTGCAAACAAGCTCCATGAGTAACAGAGCGAAACAAACATCGTCCATCTCCAGATATGCCTACACATATGGAGCAGTTATCTTCATCAAAATACTTCGGGTGGAAATAAAGTCAATATTTACAACCATAAGTTTTGGCATCCCATCAAAAAGACAAATTAATACATCATCTCCGGAAAAGGTTAGCTGTTAGATTATATAATAATTAAAGAGCAGCCCAGTGCATGAGGCTCCTGCCACTGGGGTTCTGAGCAGGGTCAAATGTACACAACATTACAATGTGGAGAGTTTGTTTATGAAACTCGGACCCATGACACCTAGGTCACAATGACGCAAAAAGAGAAAAGAATAAACAGCAAAATACAAAGCTATAAGTATTCAGTACTTACCAATAACAGAATAGTCGGTATACACTTTCTTCCCATGTGAAAAGCTGGTAGATGAGGAATCACAATCACCTCCCTTGTTTTCATTTACCTCAGCTACTTCAGCATGTACTGGTTCAGGTTTTGAATTACAAACCAGTGAACTGAAAATTAAGCAAGCAAACGTACATCCTTTTGGCCAAGAAACATGTCTCACATTAAATTTGATTTTGGGAATCATTAGTCGTCTAGGCACCAAATGCCTCACTTTCATATTTTGGGACACCAGTGAAATACCAAGGCATCCCCTCTGGGTATGTTTGGAACTCGCAATGCTTTTAACTGTTAATGAATGCCAGTTGCTCCTCCGATATGATACGTTAGACCCAAAACAGCTTCCCTGTAATGCTTGAAAGGGAAAAACAGTTGAACAAGAGCTTGTCTTGGGCATAGAACTGCTAGCATATCTCAATTTAGAATTTCTGAAGGAGATATGGAAACAACATGAGGATGGTGCCTGAGATATGAAACAGATATGGTTGCTCATCTGTCTTTGGACAAACCAACTTAGGCGGACTACATTTTGCACTTATATGCTGATGGAAGAACAAACCATTACGTTGGCATAGCCCCAGCAACAAACACGGCATACAGCACTCTATTTGAAGAATGATCTACCGAGGACTGTCCAGCACAGTATGAAATTTAAAATTATTATCTTTAACTATCCCAGTCTCATAATTAGAGATCTCTGTCTAAAACAAAACCAGATATCGAGATTAGCATTCACAAACTAACATGTTTTTCCAGAACAACAGATGTGTACACATCTACTACTCATTCAAACTTGGGCTATTATTAGTAGCTTCTCATTTGCGAGATAATGAAGCAACTACTGGGCAATTTTTTTGTTGTCAACATTCTAATTATTATTCTTACCTACAGGAATCCTGCACAAATGCTCCTTTAGGCAAAGTGACCTTTAACAATATTCCAATGACAAAACAAACAGAACATATAAATGCTCCTTTTCAGTTTAAAAAATCCTGATGGTTTTTTATACGAACTAATTCCATATAAAGTTTTATCCACTCACACCTGCACGTTTGCACTTTGCAGGCTTCTCCTTCTAGTCATAAATGACAATTGACCCCACCACAAGGATCCTTCATAAATACTTGTACATTTGAAATAATACTCGATGTTGCCTGGTACGCTACAGCTGACCATTCAAAAATCTCCTTAGCACCACACACCCGTCAATGGGCTGAAGGGCAGCCAATTTAAATATCACTCTTTTAAACTTCTTTTTCAGCTTTATATAAGAGGACCTTGCATGGATGCTCCTTTATAAAAATGGTTTCCCTATAATTAGCTAGGCAGCTGCTCATTATACATTTAAACATGTATGTTTCCAGTGGATATCACTTCAAGTGCAACAGAGAATCATTGCTTCTACCACAACTGCTCTAATCACAAGCCTCATACGCAGCCATATTCATAACAACTATCAAGCCTAGCTGGTAAACTTAACAGTCACCTGGGACTACTTTCTTCCACCCAGATTGGAGGAGTTTATGGGTAGGGAACATGCCACCATTAACCCTCCTCCACCCAGATTGGTTCAATGGGAATGGTGGCCATACACTATTGAGGCCACCAATCCCAAGGCAAAAAAAATAATTGGTGTCGACCCGTCATTAAAAATTGCATGGCTATTTCATTTAAATCAGATTTAATTACAACATGTAATTAAAGAGAACCATGTGAAGATGCTGCCACAAAATTCATTGCTTATTAATAGCTAAGTGTCCACCCATTATTCATTGACTTATGGCGTGAGGTAGGTGTGAGCAAAAATTTGTCCATGCATCCATGACAAACTGCAGAGTGACACCAAACTGAAGATTAGAGCAAGTTTTAGGTGTTGGCCCAGTGAGTTAGCTGCCTAGCTGGAGTAGCCATTCTAAAACTTGATGAATTTGTTAGTAAATAAACAAACATGATTGAAAGTCCTTAAATTTACTTTTTCCTTGCCATACCACTGAACACTTTTAAAACCATATCGATTAAATTCCATAGCAATAATGCTCATTATCCCAAGCTTAATATTATGCAATCTTTCTAATCTATTGACTTACCTATCTCATGAATAGGCATGCAAGAAACACGGTTAAGTATGCCATATGAACCTTTGAGCAAATGCATATTTTGAACTTTCCCAATTTCCAAAATAACCAGAATTTTCACCTCCTAGAAATTTCCAACTATTGAATTCTTAACTAAATGGAGAGTCCAGATTTTTGGGAAAATGAGAAAGAAACATGTGTTTTTTTTAGAAAAATAATAAAAAAAAGTGCACGATATATGAATCGCTATCTTAGGATCATATCCGGAATGATACCCATTCATCAAAGTGCTTGAGATCAAAGGCACCACATGAGAACGATAAAAAGGGAAAAAAAACATTTATGAGTTTCTTTTGGGAGGACATTAGCATATATCCAACCAATTTTCCCCACATTTTGCCTTGTGTTATGGAATTACTGTTTTGAACAACACAAGGTTCTGCTGACCATATCACTATGGGGAAACACTGTGAAGTCTTACCTCTTACCTAAGGTAAACAACATCTGCGGAAGCTGTTCCCCATGGCTCAACGTGAATGCAAATCAAATTTGGGGGAAGAAAAGGATTAACAAAATGAGTCACGTGGATTTATCTTTATAATGTCAAGGAATTGAAAAAGCCTGTCATGAATTCCATATTAATTAGTAGAAGAAAGTCATGGACCATGTCTGGAATGTCCAAACCATGACATTGCAAGATACTTCTTAGCTCCAAACATTTCAGATAGATTGGAGAGCACATTACTTGGTTTAGATACTTAGATATTAGGTGGTCCGTTGGACCTGAAATCAGTATCTGATCATTATGATCAGAAAAAAGTAGCAAACCCGGAAGCGCTTTTGACCATTTGGGCAGCTCAATGGCATTGATTAGTGCTGCAAATAGATTTCATGTTTATGGTTGAAAGTGATTGAGCCTATGAAAGATATAAACCAAGAACTATCGAAACACCTCATAGGCAAATCACCAAAATTTATTGGAACGATGACCTTATCCTTGTCCATGACTCAATTCAATCAAAATCAATGGCATTAGTTTTTAAATACCAGGTTGCAGTACAGCCGTACAGGAAATGGGATGGGAAAAACGCCATACTATCAACATTTTTTAAAAACACAAAAGCATATTATAATATCAATAACTATTACTTTGTCCTAGTCATGGTTCATTTCAATCACTAATAATGCAAAATTTCAAGAACCCATAAATGTCTATGCAATTACCACAAGATAGCCAGAAGAATGCCAAATATATATATTTATATACACAGGCTTGAACAGATACACATAAATGTATAAGGTAAAAGAAATGAACCTGTTGAACCCACAAAAAAGGAATGAATACAGTAAGACAAACCCAAATAAAGAAAATCTGCATATATATATAAAACTTTACTGTAAAAAAGAACAAAGATAGAGAATCAAGGAAGAGACAGAAGGGTGTTGAAGCAAAGAATTACCTGTGAGTCTTTATGGTACAAGAAGAATAAAAGGGTTGTTGTGAAGCCTTTTAAACTTGCGTTTTGGTCAACGAACTAAGCAATCTTTTTCGTTATGTTTTTCTTCTTCTTTCATGGTCTCTGCCAAAATTATTCAAGCAGAAGAGAGGTTGAACACCTTTATTTGGAGACGATGCCGTTTCAGGTCCAAGGTCTCTCCATTGGGAGAAAATATTTAACGTGCGAATAATAAACTACGAGTAATGCCACGTGTATTTAAAAAATAGACTTAAAAATTAGATTTGATAATCATTGATTTTATTGTGAGTCTCAGCATTTATTGAAATCCACTATCTATTCAATTGTTAAAATTATCAAATTTATTTTTTAAGTACATGTAGCATTACTCATAAACTAACTCGCAAATAAGTAAATGGTAAGGTAATAAATAAACAAGTGAATTTTATATAATTAAATAATTATGTATCCCTATCCAAAAAAAAAAAAATAACTATCTATCTATGGCTCTATCTTTAGGCAAGTGTGGCGGTCGCTTAAGACTCATTTGCGTCTATCTCACAAAATTATATGACTAAATTTTAGAAAGAATATAAAAAATTTTGTATATTACGTGAAACTCAGGATCAATAAAATTACTAATATTTTTATTTAAATCATAAATATATGTATATTCAAAAATAAGGAAAAAAAAAAAAAGAGATTGTACCATACTCTTATATAAAAAATTACAATAATTATTCTTAATAACCCTGATCTATTTATTCAATTTTATTTACTTGAATTATAATTTTTGACTTAATTTTAATTTTAATATAATCATTTACACAATTTGTTTATTCTACATCTTAAAGAACTTATTACATATTTAAATTTTTAAAACAAAAATAAATAAATTATGCATCTAAAAAAAATTTAGGGCCTCATCTAAAATTTTCGTCTAGGACTTCAAGTGTTCTTGGGCTCGCCCCGAACATTTTCACCATGTCAACTTGATGATACGGTGGGGTTCGCATTGCTCACTAGTAAGTTTCTTATTGAATTATGACATCACGTGATAATAGTGACGTGATATCTTTGTTATATCGAATATTCTATATTTGATTTTCGTATTTTTCCATTAAAGGATATTAAAAGAGATAATCAAATAGATTGTGTGTTTATTTGTAGAATCATTTTAAATAAAATGTGAGACTTCATAGCGATGTTATTAAATATTTTGAAGCAACTTTATTTAAGCAAAAATATATTTTTCCTCATAATTATTTTACCAAAGTGATTTGCATGTATTTTTGTATATCAATAATCTATCAAATAATACAACTACTAAATTGAATTTTTAACTTAACGGTTAAAATTGATCCAAATTTCATATTTTTAATCAAATGGTACAAAAATCATCCCAACAGATTTTTTTCCATCTAAAAATATCAATTTCTCTACTCAACTTTCAATGATAGACATAATCAACACACCAAAACACTCTTCAATGTCAAACAATCTCATCAATTCACACATATCTTTTTTTATTTAAATTTAAATTAAGTAATTAAAAAACTAAATTATTATTTAATATAAATATTGTAAGCTCAATGTTCGATTTTTAATATTGTATAGTGCATGCAGGCACACATAGTTATTGCTGGTTTATATAATATTTCTCAAATTTTTTAAAACTTTCCCATTCTAGGTGACGTGGGCCATTTAATAATACATAATTACTTATATATATAATTGAAATTTTTTTGAAAGAAATTGAGATTCCAAATAAAAAACCTAATTTACAAAGACCGGAGAGTAGTTGCAGTTATGATAAGGGCTAACCTAAATTGGGCCATTACTTTATCGCTATGGATCCATAACTGGGCCAAGTTTGGTAGGTATCAGCCCATAGTTCAAAGAGCCGTATATTACATACACACCAGATTGAAGAGTCGTTTTCTATTTTCGGTGTTTACTATAAAACACAGATAAAAATTGTCTCTGTTTTTGAATTTTTTGAAGACGCGAAAATAAAAACGTTACCAAACGACCCCTTGTTATCAAGCGTATAAGCATTGTCCCTAGTGGAGTTTAAGACTTGAGCTGGTATTCTACATGATCATTATCTGCATGTTGTTGGAGGGAAGTCTTCTGGATTGGTGTAGAGCCCGAAGATGTCTCAATAGGTTGTTATATGAAGTCCAAAATTTAAACTTAAAAACGGGTTTATTGACTCTGTTTTTTTTTTTTCAAAAAATGTCATAATTTGATAAATAAGTTTAAAAATATTGTATTTTGATAATTTTGTTTCAAAATTACCGTAAAATGATATATACTTAATTCAACATGGTAGTTTTGAAATGAAGATAAAATAGAGCCCTTAAATAGAGAGTCATAAAATATTAATCGTTATTTCTGACAGAAATCGACTCTACGACCTCCTGGTAAATAGTGAATTTGGAGTGATGAATTAGGTTGGACCCAATTACAAGCTTGTATTTTGTGAGAAAGAAACTTAACATGGGAAAATAGAAACAAGGTTTTCATCCCTGTCAAGATTTTTGAAAATTTTAGATGTTTTNATAGTGAATTTGGAGTGATGAATTAGGTTGGACCCAATTACAAGCTTGTATTTTGTGAGAAAGAAACTTAACATGGGAAA